TGCCATGCAAGTCTCTGGTCATATGGGTAGCCCTTCTCTGGATTGTCTCAAGCTTTACCACGTCCTCGTTAAGGTGCAGAGCGCAGAACTGGACGCAGTACTCTGGCTGTAGTCTCACCATGCTGAGAAGAGCCAAGTTGAGCAGGAGAATCACTTCTTTGCAATGGTTTTGCTGGAGATGCTTCAATTGATGCCTGCCAGCATATTGTTGGCCCTGCTGGCTACAGCATCGCACTGCCGGCTCATGTTCATACTGTGGTCAGTTATTACCCTCGGGTCTTAGTGACAGGTGATGGGGGATCTTCAGTCCTGTTGCCTGATGAGAGGCAGCATTTGCACAAGCACCCATGTCACAAGTGTTGCCTGTCAGCAGCAAGGGGTGCAGGGCCCCAGAGCCCCTCTGCACCAATCTCCTCAACAGCGGGCAGGCGTCGTGGCCGCAGCAGGGCCTAGCAGCCAGGCCTGCAGTGGTTTCCCCTCCCCTGTGCCCCAAGACAGACAGTTACACAAACACCCATGGCACAAGTTTTCCTTGTTCACAGCTTGAGGTGCAGTTTCCCCTAAACCCCTGTACCGATCTCCTGGAAACTTTGCATGCTTCGTGGCCTCAGCAGGGGCTAGCATGCTTGCAGTTTTGACCCCACTGTGTGTTAACACATACATGTATCATGAGTTTTACTTTCAAGATTTTGGGGTACAGTATCCCTGAACTCTCTGCACCTACCTCCTTGAAACATGGCAAGCTGTGTTGCTTCAACAGGGGCTACCATTCCTGTAGTTTTGACCCCGCTGCAGCTTCACCCATGCACGTGACATGAGTTTTGCTGTGAAGATTTTGGGGTGCAGTTTCTCTCACTCCTCGGCATCTATCTTCTGAAATCGTGGCACGCTTCATGCCGTTAGAAGGGACTACCTGCAAGTTTCATTGAAATCAGGCCAGAAATGACACAATTATAGCCTGTTGACCTTCCCCATTATAGCCTATGGGTGAAACGTCAATACAGGGTCAAAACGGCAAAACGTTTCGACAGAAAGGAACAGAAGAGCCATTTCGACTTGAGACAGATGTCAAAATGAAACACTGTTCTGTTGAAATGTCCAAGCGCTGGTCGAAACAGAGTGTTTCCATTTCGCACGGCCCTACTCCCTGGTCACCGCAATTTAGAGAGTGACTTAGAGATTTGACAGCACTTTGATGGATGAGGTCTGTATGGATTTACTAACATGAAAAGACAGTGTCCCAGTTAGTCCAGTTGCCCCATTTGTGTCCAGTATCACTCTGGTCATTCCTGGCTTTTGCTTGGGCCAGATGCTCGTCATCCAAGAATCCTTTTACAGCTGCATTTGTTCAGATAAATGCTCATCACTATTTCTCTTCATTTCAGGGTGGAAAAGAGCTGTGATCTGTCCAGGTAATGAAAGTTCATATTGAATCAATGGTCTCTTCCTGTTATTTCAGTTCCCTTTGTTTCCTTTCCTGTCAAATTCTTAGGCTCACTAATAGTTTGTGGCAAGAAGTGCTTTTTATTAAAGTCAAAGAACTCAAAATCTCCTGTGGCCAGATTTTTTCTGAAGGGACCTAAAAGTCCCCACCACACACAGCACTTTCTGATTCCCCTTGTGAGTGGAAATGGCAGGTTTTAATCATGTAAGTGCCAATTCGTCTTTTGCACAAGTAGAAATACAATTTCCCCTGGTAGCCTGGACCTGTAACTATACCTGTGTCGTCTGAGCATGTGCAGCAGGCTTTGTATTGGCCAGGGAGGTGCACTGCTACATATGTGTGTCCCTTCTGGATGTGTATTGGTGTTTACACCTTGAAAATAAGCGATGGCCAGGACTACCTGACCAGCAGGTTTCAAACTGCACAAGACAGGGGCAGCACTCTTGTATTTTAGCTCCTACATTTGCCTGCTTAGGACACTTGTTCATGAAACCAGAGATCTGGGTGCTAGGTGCCCTTTACCCCAAAAGGATTTGAACCTCTTTCTCTCTCTGATTTCCAAGTACAGCACTTTAATCATCATAGCACCATTCATGCATTACCCCAGGTTACTTTAGTCACTTCTTCTGAAACTGGCCTCCGAAACAGGAGAGATAGAGACGTGCAGCCAGGAGAGAAAGAGCAAACTAGCTATGTGGGACTCGGTGAAGTGGCTGCAGCTGCCCAGGAAGGGATAGGGCCCTGCATTCTAGCCTGGACCCTTGTCCCTAATGGGTCTAAAATCTCTCTGCTGTGTGGCTCTCCAGGGGAACAGTGCGTAATATGAATACATGAAATCACTCGCACATTGAAAATATCCTCAATTTTTGGCTCCTGCAAAGAACTAGTCACCAAGAAGCAGCATCTATCCTGTCTTTGACAGCTTGTCTGGCTCAAGTAGATGCTTGTTGGAAGAGGTAATAGGAACTTGACAAAGAGGCCTGTAGGTCAGTAATGATATGGACGCAATTTTGAGGAGAGGCTTTTGTTTAGTCTTGGACTGATACATGCCTAAGTCAGTTGGATAGTTCTGAACATTGTACCCACAGCCCATAATTTCTTGTCTCTTCTCTGGTGCTGTTTAAGCACATTGACCCCCTTTCCTCACAGTGGTGCCCTGTCTGCATGGACAAACACTTGCCAGAGAAGGCAACTTTGAAGAAGAACGTCCAGATCCCCTCCTATGTGACAGTTCCCCCAGAAGGTTTATAGCTTATTACATGGAAGTAGAAGAAAACACTCTTCTGCCACCTGCCACAATTACTCACTGGGCCTACACCTTCCTGGTTTTAACTCAAGGTGCAATTTTCTATTATATGAAAGGCAACTGGAGCAGGTCTTCGTCAGTAATCTTGTTGTGCTTCTTAAGAGTGTGTGTAGGGACAGTATTCTTTAGTGTCAACAACTATGTCAGGAATAGTAATCTAAGAAAAATCAAAGACTGATATGTGTGTGGTCCTCTGATAGAAAACCTGTCGCAGAGTCTGTGTCTCGGTTATTAATTATGACACACTGAAGTTTTAGATCTATTTTGTCCCAATGTGACATTGCAGGCAATAATGCATTGTTTATACATCTCTTCTAATGAGTTCTCATGTCTGATTCTGTGGTTGCTTTCAGGGCTGGGACAAACTGCACCGCTTTTGGAAAAAGGTACAATGTTCAGATTATATCAATTGCCAAGTCTCTCCAGCACTGGGAACCTAATTAATTTAGATCCTTTAATAGATTAATACTATTGAGATTAATATATTTATTAATTGTTATTTAAGAGCAATATATGTGTTAATAGCTGATGAACAGAATGAATGGAGATGTCTCCTCTGGCATTTCGAGACCAGTACTGGTGGATGGCAGGGAGGGTAATGAATATAGGAATAAGGAAAAGGTCACTCTACATATATCTAGGGTTTAAGGCTCCCCTCCTATAGTATTAAGTTAATCCTCTGCTGGAGATAGGACACTGGACTACATGTATCATTGGTTTGACTCAGTATGGCAGTTTTTATGTTCTCGTGTTCTTATTGAGTGTGCAAACACATAACAATTGAACAGTTCCAACATTTCACGGGCTGTGGACTGGTTCACAACTGTTGTTTGTCAGAGATGCCCACATGTACAGTGCCCTAGCATTCAAGGTAAGACGGTTATCCTTTAAGCACTGAAGTGCTGTGGTTCTAACAAACAGGGCTGGGGCAGAGTGAGCACCCAGCCCAGAATGTCTCAGTGGGTGGGTTGAATGGAGCTAATCAATGAAGGAGGGGGAAAAAAGAGGGGGACAACAGTATTCTGGCCATATACCACTGTAGCCAGTTACAGCAGTGGGAGCAGGGAGGAGGTGGGAGGAGCAATGCAATGTGGGATGTCTGGAGGACTGACCAAACCGTTGTCACAGACCATTTGGTGTCTGCTGAACCAAAGTCCAGTGAACTGATTCAAAACAACGCTTGATTTTCTATTGGGACAATTCACCAGTTCCAGAACGTTTTATAACCACTTTAACAGTCTGTTTTAAATTCATTAAGATGCATTCAACCTAGTCTAAGCCTAGCAACAGACATTGCCAAATTGAAAGGGATCACATTAGACACTCATCTGCTTTACTGAATGACACACATTGCCCATTGTCCCACATTTGGTCTCCTGCCTGATGTGGGAGAGCAGGGGATGTGTTCCCTGTCCCTCTGCCTCACATCAGGTCCTGCAGTGACACAGATGCTAGAGAGTCCCTGGTGCCCTGTGCCCCCTTGTCCAGATCCACCCTGACCCATGCTTCAGGCAGAGGCACAGTGCAGGATGGGGTGGAGGGAGAGGTGGGTGCAAGAGCCAAGGTATCTCCACTGTGGGTCAGCATGGTCCAGGCCTGGAGGTGAAGGGCACAGGAGATTACACAGCTCCTGTGCCCCCTACACTGGGACTCGCACTGGTCTGTTCCTCTGAATGGGCCAGTGCAGCACCCAGCACAGCTCGCGGGGTGGCAGCCCCAGGTCACACAAAACTAAGAGTAAAGGCACAAAGCACACAGTATTCCCTGAATCCCGTGCCTCCACACTGCGACACACACTGGTTTCACCACTTACAGGGATGTGCCCCAGGCCTCCCTATACATGGAGAAAACTAGGCAGGTCCCTCAGTGGCCTGAAGGGTTCTGGACTGGGCCATTGAACCCTCCTCAGGCTGCCAGAGCACCTGCCCAGGGTGAAGAATGTGTTTCTGCCCTAAATGTTACATGTGTCCATGCCCAATACGATAGATCCCAATCTGGCAGTGGGTGGGGATGTCACACCTCATGACAGGACTCTCATATCCTCATGCATTTCAAAGCACACCATGAGATGTGGCAGGCTGTGACACAGTAATGCATCTGCATGGGACTGCACCTCCTCCTCCAGACCCTTCTTTGCCTGTCTCCTGCAGAGATATCTGAGAGGTCCTGCCCCCTTCCTCCTGATCTCCCCCTTCCTCCAAATTCCCTACAATACAGAACAGCCCTACAAATACAGAAATTGGAGAATGGGGAATATAGGGTTTAAGATGAAATCAAAGAGAGAGCCAGAAAAGTATGGGTATTTCAAGCAACAAAGCAGGGTGAGAAAGGAGAAATAAAATATACACAATAATAAAGGTGCTAGGGAGAAAGACACTGCAGTGAGAAAACATGACAGGGCAAAGGCTGGAAGGTGTTAGTATTGTGGGGCCAGGATCAAAATAGTTTGGGGTGGAACAACAAAAAAACATATTTGAGGCTGACAAGGAAGTCGGAGGACAGAGCAGGAAGCTGCCTGCTGAATAGACCTGGACAAAGGGGCATTGGAAGGGACTGGAGTGGGCCAGGGTGGCTGAGAGGAGAAGTTTTGTGAGCTCCTGTTTGCACATTCATAAACCAAGAAAAATTTGTCTAAACTGCAAGTTTTTGGTCTATCTCTACTTCCTTCCTCTGCTGTCTCCTCCTACCCAGTGCTGCTATCTCTTCCTTTTTGTGATCTCTTCCCTTGTGTGTCTGTTCACTTTCCCGTAGCTTTTGCTCCTTTCCTCCCGCTTTTTTGCTCCCCAAAGTTTGCTTGTCATCACAATGAGTGGTGATTAGGGAGAGGAAGAATCCAGCTTTTCTCTCCTGCAGTCATCCACCCTGTCCATGCATGGATGTGACTCTCCTTTTATGTCCATTGTTCCCTGCTGGGGACACAGCAGTTCTTGAAACAGCCCCTGACTTGTAGGGACTGTTTAGGGACTACTCCTCTCGATCATATTGCTACAGGCCCAAACAGATGGAGCAGACATTTGCATAAAGGGATCTCTTACCATGAGTTAGAAGAGGAGATGAGCTGCTATAATTTCAGTAGTTTTGGGTGTGCTTTCCTTTTCCAGCCAACCATCATGATATAGTCTTTCATCTTTCCTCATTTATTAGAGGATGGACACTTGATGCCCAAAAGTTTATCCAACAGCTCTTCCAAATAGAGAGTCAAACCAATAAGAGATACCACAAAACATTGTTGCCTCCTGAACCGGCAGAGCTCCAACAATACTCCAACTCTCTTTATTAAGACACCAAGTACGTTCCTGGCTTTTAACACAATTACCTTCTATTCACATAAGTCACTTATGGCTTCCTCACTCCCACTTCCCCACACATCTCTCCATTTTTGTCTTAAGCCCTTCCGGTTTGTGTATGTATTTCACTCCCTCCCATCTGCTATGCCATAGGCTGTATCTTGCTGGAGTGGGAATGTCTCTCTGGGAAATGCCCCCAAAGTATGAGAGCGGGGAAGGTTTAACAAGGTGGGTTTGAATACAGGCAGGGGATAGTGCAGGGGGAGATGAGCTGTATCCATGCTCTCCCCTTCACACCCTCTGCTGGGCTCTCCTCAGCCCCAGGGTCT